AGTGTACCTCTGGTGCAAATTACTGACCTCTGTCATCATTTTAGGTGGGGGAACTTGCACAATCGGTGGCTGACTAAATACTTTTTTGCCCCACTGTATAAACGTACTATGTCTAAAAATGTCTGTATTTCCTGTGACATAATACTTCTACAAGTGATGCTGAAAGTCTGCGTTCAGCCTCGTTTTGATGTGTTTGAGTTGATCCACTGTGTGGTGTTCAGAGCTACACAAACAGTCCACAAACTTGTTGTAACCTGTCACTATAAGGTGGATCAAGAGAACTGGCACCAACCCCAGCAGCCGGTGGTGCTAAGGACCTGGAACATGGAGTCCCCGCACAACTACGAGAACAGCCGCCACGAGACGAGCATCTTCGCCTGCCCCGGTGCGACGTCGTTCGAGGTGGAGTTTGATGAACGTTGTGAAACAGAGAAGAGGTGACGTGTTTGTAAATGTTTATTTGTTTGTCTTTGAAATCCTTTGTGGGGATTTTATCCTGTTAACTGTGCTCACAATATTCGCAGATACGACTACTTAGAATTCACAGATTCCAGAGGGGGAAAGGTCCGCTACGACATGAAGGTCGGAACTGAGAAGTGGCCAAAGGTAGGCGAAGGAAAATCACAGGCCGGTCTTCAGATGCGTCACTGATGTTTACGAATGTGTCCTTGTGTGTTTGCTGCTTTAGAAAGTGACCTTTGACACCGGTCCCCAGCTGCAGTTCCTCTTCCACTCTGACAGCAGCAACAACGAGTGGGGCTATAAGTTCACTGTAACAGCGCTGGGTTTACCAGACATCACCATTTCTTGGATGTCAGATCTGCAGCTGCTGGTGGCTCGTCTGATGGGTCGCCTTGCATCCAGAACGCTGGCGTTGAAATCTCCGCACGGTGAGACGGTTTTCATGAGGCTGGCCTGAGTCACAGTTTATCAGAGCAGAAAAGAAACCAGTTTGAGGCACTAGCGTGTATTATTGTGGGTTTCTGTCTCCAGAGGTTCGCAGTGTAAAGGAACTTCCATCAGGGAAAATGTCCCATGTTCAGTCTTCACCTTTATGGAAACCCATCCTGAGACATGGGCTGTGTGACAAAAGGGAGGCGAACCGAACAAAAACAATCACAGAGCAGGTAAAAAACGCTCTGCTGCCTCAGTTACGTACAAGCACCAGATGCTGCTGTTGCATTAGTCGGTGACCTCGACTGGAAGATGCTCTGATGGTGTTTTTCTTTTTCTGTGTGGTAGGCGAGCACGTGGACTCTGGATGAGCCGACGGGCTTCCTGGAGGACTTTGCTCGCTGGAACCCTTCACAGGAGCTAACAGACGCTAGAACAGAGCTGATGAGGACCCTCATGCAGGCTTGCAGGAAACAGGCGATGAGGAACGAGATCACCGCTGGGTCAAAGATAGACCAAGCTGTGAATGCCATTTGGGCAGCCATGGTGTACCACACACCGGCCCTCAACCTCGCACTTCTTAGCTATGGTAATCAGCGCTCATACAGCTGTGTTTTTGTGAGTTTGTTTCTTAATTAATCTTCTGAATGATTTTCTCCCATCTGTGTTTTTGTGCTAGTAGTTAATCCGGACTGTAAATCCAGTCTGAGTGAAGAGTTCGTGCAGGTGTATTCACTAGCAGACAGCATCAGAACGTGGATGGTGAGTGTAACACGGGACATCTCCGCTGGCTCGTGCTTTTCATGTTTCTGACCTGTGACTCTGCTGGGATCTATTTCCTGTTAGCTGGAGATGAAGCAGAGATATCTGGTTGGCAAGATGAACCATCATGACGAGCGGGAAGGTGGTCCTGATGAGGTTACCATGGAGACACTGGGTGAGTGCTTCTTCCTTTTTAATGTCATGTCTTGGTTTTACTTTGCTTTCTCCTGACATTTTAACTCTTTCTTCTTGTTCTCAGCTGAGATGTGCATCGAGAAGAGCCTCTTGTTGTTCCGATTTGCTCCTTGCGGCGTTCCATGCCAAGGCAGCGACGCTTCCAGAGCCACAGAGAGCAGCAGTGCTCTGCTGTTCCAATCAAGTTCTATTTCAGAAGGAGACTTCCAAGCCAGCTCATCTGTGGGACCTCAGGCTGCAGGGTCTGAGGAAAGCTGCGAGTCCAGGTCTGGACAGAGTCAGTCGTCCGGTACTCACATTCCCAACTCATCCTCATGTGGCCACAGCAGGCGAACCCATCGAGACTCGACAGAGAGTCTCTCCCCCCAGCCTGGGGAGCCAGCCTCCCCCTCTGCTTACAACCGCAAAGCTCCGTTCAGTCGGGCACGCCTTCGTCTCCTGTCCTGCCGCTCTATAGAAGAGCCTCGCATGACTCCCTCAGTCAAAGATCGCTACCCGATACTCAAACACATCCTAAACTTCATAAAGGACCAGGCTCTCACAACAGCGAGGTGAGAAACTGCTACTCTCCTGTTTGGTAACGCATAATGAGATCCAGGGTTAAGTCCTCGTTCTTCTTCCTGCAGCATTCTGCAGACGCTGTCTCTGAACAAAGCGCAGGCCCTGAGTGTGTGCAAGGTGCTGGAGATGGTTCAGCAGTGCTTCCACTCCATGGGACAGCCGCACCTCTTCCAAGCCCCCTGCATCCTGTTCCTACAGGAGCTGCTGGCATGCCAAAAAGACTTTACCTGGTAAATCTCAGTTTTTCAGTTTCAATTCATTTACGCATGAACCTCCATGACACAGGAGCAATCAGAATAAGGTCACAGAATATGATGCTGCACGCATACTGGTCCTAGTGGGATAGTAGGTCTTAGATTTCCATAATGAAAATAAATGAATGGATTCATTTAACCCTTTAAACCCTGACCTAATTTACCTTTTAAAGCAGGGGTGTCCAACTCCAGGCCCCGAGTGCCGGAGTCCTGCAGGTTTTAGACGTGTCCTTGATCCAACACAGCTGATTTAAACGGCTAAATGACCTCCTCAAGTTCTCCAGAGGCCTAAATGAACTAATTATGTGATTCAAGTGTGTTGACCCAGGATGAGTTCTGAAACCTGCAGGACCTCGAGGCCTGGAGTTGGACACCCCTGCTTTAAACACTCACCCAGTTAAAGGGTTAAACTCTGCAGATTGCAGCAAAGCAAGCAGAGTCTCTCCAGGCCCCAGAAGACTTTTTACAGCAAGAGGTTTTTAACAGTTGTGTCCCAAAATGTGATGGCAGCCGTTTAGTTTGGTTCTCAAGTCTTTTTGGAGATTAGTCACCGATGTCAGTTTGGTGTTTTGCTGACTGGCTGCACAGAAACAACATTTTCTTTGTGTTTTCCAGTTATTTCTCTCAGCTGTCAGACAGCGGTCAAAAGCTGGGGGAGGAAGTGAGGCGCTCCTACCATCAGCTGGTGCTCATGCTTGTGGAGGCGGTACAGGGCTTCAGCAGCCTCAATGAGAAGTGAGCGCTTTCCTCTAACCCGTCGTGATTTTGTGAATTTAGATTTGTTGCAAGTGCAGGAAGTGTTGTTGTGAAAGTGCGTGCACGGTGACCTGATCGCGATCACTGCCCCACAGAGCGTTTCTGCCGGCCCTGTCGTGTGTGCAGACCTGCTTGTTGCACCTCCTGGACATGAACTGGGAGGCGCACGATCTTCCTTTCTTCCTGAGCATCAATCTTCCTGACCTCCTCCTCAGCATGTCTCAGGAGAACATCAGCGTCCATGACACTGCCATCAGGTAATCTCAGTGCTCGTCTAAATGTACGAAAAGCTGCTGAAGAAGGCAAAAGACACCTCAGTTTTCACAAACTGCTTTATTCATAAAGTTTCTTCTGTGGTTTAACTTCATCTGCAGTCAGTGGACAGAGGAGGACGAGATTGCAGACTACAAGAAGAACCAGGAGTGGATGGATGAGTGTATGGACGGGATGTTTGAGAAGTGGTATGACAAAATTGATGAAGAGGAATCGATGGAGGACAGGAGGAAGGTACACTGCAGTCCATGAACGTAGGGGTGTTTGATATAACGATATATATCGGATGACGATATAAAAACGTCTGTCGTTTCATTTTACGCTATCGTTTGTTTCGTGCTGTCGCAAAATAAACCGTTTACGGTAATATTTGTTCGTGGTTCTGATGTCACTGTAGTGGTTATGTTCATTTCTTCAAGTTCTCTCTTTCTCTTATATGTAATATGACCACACTACGGACGGACAAGCGCCTGTTTTTATGCGTTGTCGTTAGCAACAACGACGGTAAAACCTTTGTGTGTCCGCTTGTTTATGTTCCACATAAACCTTTCACAATAAAGCTCAAGATCCTGTTGAGACTTTTCAAAATAAACTGAATCATGTGAAAGCTGCAGATTATTTACGGATGAGAAGTAAAAAAGAGCCGCCAGGTGCTAAAAAATAAACTTCAGACTCAAACGTTAGATCAGGCTTCTCCCCGCAGCACGCCGTGTGATAAATACTCACAAAGGAAACGGCGCCGTTACAACTTATGTCTAAAATGTGTCGTTTCATGCATCGTTAAAACACTCCACGTACACGACGCCCAGCTGGAAACACTTCAGGTCGAGCTGCCCGAGATTCACAGACTTTACAGAAAACGTTACATTTCTGTGATTTATATCGTTATCGGACGATAGATGTTTTATATCGGGATATGAGATTCTGGTCGTATTGCGCAGCCCTACATGAACGTTTCAATGTTCACAGCCAGACTCGCCTCAAAGCTGGCTGCGTTTTCTCTTCTCCACATTCTTCCCTTTGCATTTACAAAAACCTGCAGATTCGTGCTGCATGCTCCGTCATTTTAAAAACTCTAATCAGTCACGTGCTCCGTCCACAGATGCACATGTTCATCGCCCGCTATTGTGACCTGCTCAACGTCGTGATCTCTTGCGATGGCTGTGAGAGGATGGCACCTTGGCACCGCTACCGATGTCTGCAGTGCATGGACATGGACCTCTGCAAGACCTGCTTCCTTAGTAAGTGCATGCATGACACCGATGATCAGAGGACCTTCCCGTAGCCGTAGTTATACTCACTCTGGTGTATATGTAAACCAGGTGGTGCCAAGCCTGAAGGCCACGAGGATGACCATGAGATGGTAAACATGGAATATGCCTGCGATCATTGCCAGGGGCTTATTGTAGGCAGCAGGATCAACTGCAACGTGTGTGAAGACTTTGACCTGTGCTTCGGTTGTTACCACGCAAAGAAGTATCCTGACAGGTGACGTGCGTCAACTCACATTTAATGTTGAGGTTGGCCTCTTTAGTTCTCCTTTTATTAAATGGTTATTGTCCCATCGCCAGCCACCTGCCCACCCATCGGATCACCGTGTACCCCATGGTGACCATACGGATCAGCGATCGCCACCGTCTCATCCAGCCCTACATCCACAACTACTCCTGGCTGCTGTTTGCTGCTTTGGCCCTGTACACGTCAGAGCTGAGCAGCGAGAAGCAAACGGATGGAGACACCTTGGACAGCGACACTCTGAACGTGGCCAAAGCCCTGCAGACCCACTGCTCCCAGCTCATCACTGACTGCTTGCTCAAAGGACAGACTGGCAAAGGTAAGTTCACAGCAGTGTAGCACTTGCATAATTTTACGTTGCACAGACTGGTTATTAGCATGTAATACTCTCTTTTTCTCCTGTGCTCTGCATAGGTTTCCGTTCCTCTGCTTTGCTTGCTCTGCTGTCCACCAACGATTCTGCTTCTGACAGCGAGCTGTGTCCAGTCTCTCCTGAGTCCTCTCAAGAGCTCAGCACAGCCACGGACACCTCCTCGCTCCCTGGTAGCACAGCAGCAATCTGCTCTCCTTCATCTCCTAAGCACAAGGTGGGGAATGCAACTCATGTTCAAAGATAATGTGACGTCCTCATGTTTGGGTCTCGCCGATTTACAGAAAAGATGCAGAAACGTGTAAAAGTCAGCCTGTCCTCTGTCAAACAGGACAAACTGTCAGATGAGAAAAAGGCAGAGGAGGGGAGCTGTCCTCCTCCTGCTCAGCCAGAGTTGTCGCTCCCTCCGAGCAGTGGGCCGGGGGACAAAAAGAAGCTGGTCACTCAAGACACCCTAGACTCCGCCCGGCTCAGCCAGACCCCGTCAGTGTCCAGCGAAGACGCCCTCTCTCCTGTGGTCCGACGTGAGTGCTTTCACCCAGACGCTCGGCCTGATTCAACTCAATGTATTCATTTATTTATTTACTCTTCTTTGCTCCAAATTGTGGACCAGGAGCAGTCAACTCGCCAACATCTGATGTTGTCAAGGAAACTGACGATAGGCTGCCCCCAGTTCCCCTTCAGGGACACGTGTTCTCCGAGTGCTCAAGAGAGAGGATCCTGGGACTGCTGGCAGCCATGCTACCTCCAGCCAAACCAGTAAGAGACCAAAATCATTTTGTGGGGTTAAAACATTAAGATAGGAGATACAGCTCTCATGTCTGTGCAATAAATATGGAGTTACAGCTACAAGGCTAATCAGCCGTTTAGCTTGGCTGAGGTCAGGGGCTGGCCCAGATGACACTGTGGGCCATACAGCAGACTCTCAGGGAAACTCCAGTCAGTACCAAGAAGCTGAATTACACATTTAAACAATGAGACGTGGACAAACAGCGAGCCTTGATGGACGGCACCTCGTTGTCCAACTGTTGGACAGTATAAATGATTTTGTACATGTTTCTAAAGGTTCGTCACTCCTATGACTGCGCTGACATATTCTCCTCTTATCCTCACGTGTGCTGTCTTCCTGTCAGGGCTGTTCCCTGTGTCTGCCCAGTCTTAGCTCCATGCTGCCACAGCTTTTTAAGGCAGTCATTTCCAATGCTGGCTCTCTGAATGAGACCTACCACCTCACCTTAGGCCTCCTGGGTCAGCTGCTGCTCCGGATCCCTCCGATGGAGGCTGACGCTGCTGTGACAGAGGCTCTGGCTGACAAGTATGAGTTGCTGATACAAGGAGAGATGTCCTGTTCAGACATCCAGGGCTGGAAGACCATACAGCTGCTTTTCAGCCTGGGCGCCGTCTGTTTAGACAGGTAAATATCATGATGTTATTATCCACCTGTTGCAGACGAGCCAGGACGATGTCTCTGCTGATCACAAATGCAGGACAAAGTTGCCTCTGTGTGAAAGATTTTAAATTAACAATCGTGTGATTGAAGTGCAGATCAGCCTTTATTCACGAGCCTTAACAAAATACTGCGTGAACTGTTTTTTTTATATGTTGGTCTCTTTTTCAGAGGCTCGATAGTAGTTGGGCAAAGTGACATCACTTCAAATAGAAGGACTGTTTTTAATCCTTTTCTTGAATGCGTGGACATCAGCGCTCTGACAGACCTGCAGCTGCCCTCACATGCTTTTCGTTTGTCCGTCTTTCTTTCTTCAGTAACTGAAAAGCTTTTGGGTTCAGTTTAAGCGTCTGACAAAAGCGCCAGTCTTTGCCATGAGACGCTCTCGGCTTTGAGTCATTGAGTGTTGAGCGATCGGCGTTGCAGCATTTGGCTGAATCTGAGCAGAGTATTGGTCAACAAATTCATCCTGCTGCTTTCTGTCAGCTGCTACATTTTGCTCTTGAGCAGGGTCGGCATGATGAGTGCCGTCTAAAATGTCCTCATGTGCATGAACAATAAATGTAGTAACGCTCTATAGCAACAGTTACTATAATGAACAACTTCATCGAACTGTATTTGTTCACAGATGTTGGCAAAGTGCATTTAATGGTCTCTTTATATTTATGGTCCCCTCAACAATGATGCGAAAAACTGGGCCAATACGACACGTTTGTTAATGCAGGGACACGCGTGTTAACGTGATCCTGGTCTCCCACTCAGAGTCTCCGAGCGTCCACATTCAGACCTGAGGACACTCTTAGTGTGACGGGAGATCAGCTCACACAGATCTGTGAGCCGAATACTGTCAATAAGCCCCGTGCAGTGTTTTTGAGACAGTTAAACGTGTCAGGTAGTGACGTCCAGCAGGTGAACGTGCAGCTCCATGAACACGCACAGCTGTGGATTGCAGCTGCGCTCGTAGTTCTGCAAACTTTGACCCCGCAGAGTCGAGCTTTCCGTTCAGTCGGCTGCATTTCGATGTCCTCTGTGTCTGAGAGACGAATCCAGCTGCTTATTAAAGCTTTCTGGTTTGATCAGAAAAGAAAACATTGGTCCGTACACCTCAGTCCTGAAAGCGTCTCGAGTCTTCGGATGTATCCGTGTATTTCCGTGGTGCTGACGCTGGCGTTTGCTGTTAGCTCACATACCGTCGTTGAGAAGTGCACAGCTGTGTCTGTGCAGTGCGGCCCGGCCGTAGATATTTATTTCTTCATGCACTTTCTCAGGTTAATGCGTGTCGAGCCACATCTGGGCGTGCCAGCTGTGGCTCGAGTGCCCAGGGTTGATGATGCTCTTTGTCCAATTATTTTTGAGCCTCTGAAAATGTCGGAACGATAAAACATGTATAAAACTGTTTGTACATCCTACAATCCCCTGAACGTCGATCGCAGATCGATCGATTTGAAATCCCCTGCGGGGCTTTATAGAGGGAAACTACAAAATGATGGGCCTAACGGCAGAGGTGGCACCAGCTGCTCATAGAAACCAGTTTGTTTGTTTTTCCCTGTTGTTGTTTTTTGTGGATGTGTAAACAGCTGTTTGGATGTTTGGTTGCAGTCGCATTGGCTTGGACTGGGCATGCACGGTGGCAGACATTTTGCACAGTCTCAATGCTTGCCCCGAGTGGTGCACAATCATCGCCGCCTTCACTGACCATTGCATTCAGCAGCTGCCGCAGACTCTGAAGCGCACCAACCTCTTCACACTGCTGGTGCTCGTGGGCTTCGCCGAGGTGGGTAGAAGACAGTTGATGCTGTGGAGTCTGAAACCTTACTGAGACTCTGTGAAGCCTATTGTGACGTGTGTGTGTGTGTGCGCCAGGTGCTGTGCGTGGGCACCCAGACGGTGTTTATCGACAACGCCAATGAAAAGCACAACATGATCTTGCTGAAACACTTCACAGAAAAGAACCATGCTGCGGTGGTGGACGTTAGAACACGCAAGAGGAAAACAGGTTAGCACAGTAGCTTCTGGACCGCGTATGATGAGGAGTCATCTTGGATTAACCTTCTGTGTGTTCGCTTTCGTAGTGAAGGACTACCAACTCATCCAGTCTCAGGATTCTTGCACGGTCAGTCTACCGGGGCAGCCAGAGGGCCAAGGCTGCCCAAAGACGCTGCTCAGTTGCTACCTGGGCAATTTCACCTCCATTATTAGCCACCTGTTGCAGACAAGCCAGGACAACGGCTCTTCTGATGCCGTGGAGGCTTCCTGGGTCCTGTCTTTGGCTCTTAAAGGCCTCTATAACATACTCAAGGTACTCCAACCATATCCGCCCTCCACGTTGGACAGCTTCTTATCAACAAGCTATCCCCGACCTGTTTAACATGATCAGTATCCCACCTCTGATCAGACAAACTTGGCACGATTCCTTTTCATGTCCTGTTGTGTTTTTTGTTAAGAAGCACGGAGTGGAGCACGCACATGAAGCCATCCAGGAGTCAGGCCTGACCCAGCTGCTGGTGAGGAAGTGCAGTAAGGGGACCGGCTTCAGCAAGCTGTGGCTGCTGCGTGACCTGGAGATCCTCTCCATCATGCTGTACTCCTCAAAGAGGGAGATCCATTCCATGGCCCAGGACCCGGAGCGAGAGCAACGAGAGCAGGACAAGGAGCACGACTCGGACCACTCCAGCTGCTGTGCTGACGACACGGATGTCAATAAGCCCGACCCGCTGGAGGGTCTGGATGAGGAGACAAAGATTTGCTTCCAAGTGAGTTGTGCTGCAAACACGCGCAGCCAAACCTGGGGTGAAAGAAAACGCTCAAGACTTTTTTCCTTCCAAATGCAGATCACCCACGATGCCTTAAACGCCCCTTTGCCCATTCTGCGAGCTATGTATGAGCTGCAGATGAAGAGGACCGACTCGTTCTTCCTGGAGGTCCAGAAGAGGTGAGGATGAAGATTTACTTTGTGATTCATGGATTCACTCAAATCTAAAACTTGCTGTGATGTTGTGCTTTTCAGATTTGATGGAGAAGAGATAAAAACGGACGAGACGATCCGTACGCTGGCCCAGAAGTGGCAATCCAGCCGGCGGCCTCGGTCTGAGGAGCGGAACACCAAGGCTGTGGACACGGACATGATTGTGGTGTCTTGCATGGTGGGTTGTTCCAAAAATGCTCTAAAACAGCCAGTTTCTCAGTCAACAGTGTTACAAGTCGTTGTTTTAAATGATAATGTTCTTGATTGGCCTGGCAGTCTAAACCGAGTCACTGTGAAAAGGCCACAGAGGAGATCAACGTCGTAGCCCAGAAGCTCATCACCAACTCGGAGAGCGACCTCCAGCTCAGCTATGCCAAACAGAGACGCACCAAAAGCTCCGCTCTGCTGCACAAAGAGCTGGATGTGCGCAGCAACCGAGCCGTTCGTCAGTACCTGGTGAAGGTCAACCAGGCCATCGCCACGCTGTACGCTCGCCACGTGCTGGCGTCGTTGCTTGCCGACTGGCCCGCAGACGCGCCGATGAGCGAGGAGGCCCTGGAGCTGAGCGGGGCCTCGCACATGGCTTACATCTTGGACATGCTGATGCAGCTGGAGGAGCGGCCGTCGTGGGAGAAGGTGAGACGGGAGGCAGAAGTGAACAAAAGTAGTGTGCGAGTACACGATGGGCTGAAGCCGCTTTGTTTGCTTTTACAATCAGATTCTTCAGAGGGTGCTGAAGGGCTGCAGCCACAGCATGCTCTGCAGTCTCTCTCTCACTGCTTGCCAGTTCATGGAGGAGCCTGGCATGGCAGTGCAGGTCAGAGAGTCCAAACACCCGTACGATAACAACACCAACTTTGAGGTGAGTCGGTTGTTGTTGCTTCAAACGTGTGCTTTACTGAACATCTGAACTCCACAAAGACCTGCGCTGTGTTGGGATTAATGTTGTGCCCGTGTGTTCTGCCCTCAGGACAAGGTGCACATCCCTGGCGCCATCTACCTGTCCGTAAAATTCGATTCCCGCTGCTACACAGAGGAAGGCTGCGACGAGCTCATCATGTCCAGCAGCAGCGATTTTGTCCAAGATGTTCACAACTTCAGTGGGTCTCCGCAGAAGTGGTCCGATTTTGAAATCCCCGGTGAGGACCGTTCGTGTGTGTTTGCGTTTCAGATCGTGTGACTGTTCACTTCATATTTGCATCTCTGGCTTTCTCAGGTGATACCCTGTACTACAGATTCATGTCAGACATGAGCAACACAGAGTGGGGCTACAAGTTCACCGTAACGGGGGGACACAGGGGCCGTTTTCAGACAGGTGCTGTCCTCCTTCTGTTTGGGTTCAGATTCGCTTTGCAGCCTTTTTGTTGAACGTCACATTAACATCAGCTTCATCAACTCTTCTCTGCTCGCTCATCAGGTTTTGAGATACTGAAGCAAATGCTAGCTGATGACCAAGTGCTCAGCCAACTGCCACTAGCCGACATCTGGGAGTGGCAAGTGGGCGTGGCCTGCCGACAGACTGGAAACCAGCGACTGAGAGCCATTCACCTGTTGCTGCGTCTGCTGCAGTGTCAGTCCCAGACGTAGGTCGAGCCTCCTTCTTTTTTTCTGTAAATGCGTCCGTGACTGTCACACTCCCACCTGGATGCAGCCGTGCCGTCTACCTCTCATCTTTAGCTCAGCATCATGTCCTGGTGCAGGAGTGCACCTCCACGCAGCATTTGCATAGAAGCCTTCATACATGCTCTTGTAATCATGATGGAAATTAGGTAAAGTATGCGTTTAGAAATTTCCATATGTGCAAACTGACCCAGCAACCATCAGGTCACGATGAGGGAATTCATAGAAGTTGGTGTGTAGACGGGCAGCAGCTCCATCTTTAAGAGTGAAATCATCCGTTTAGTGTCCTAGAAAATCTCTTTAAAGGGTTTTCTGCGTTTGAGTTGGGAGCTATATCAGCGGTCCCCAACCACCGGGCCCTGGACTGGTACCAGTCTGAGTCATTTGGTGCCAGGTCGCGATAGTTGAGGCTCGAGTGTGAAATTTATGGTTTTCAGGCTTTTTATCGTTATTTTTTATCGTGGGTCGTTTCCTGTGTGTTATGAATAAATCTTCTTTTTTTGGTACCGGTACTGGTTTTATTTTGTTGTATTTATCCGCGACACCTTAAAGGCCGGTCCGTGGTGCAAAAAAGGTGGGGGGCGGCTGAACGAGATGACCTCATGACGACAGACTTGTAAGATGATGAACAGACAAAGTTTGAGAGTTAAGGAGGTGATATTAGCATTTTGTGCCAGCTTTTCATCCTGCTGTTGATGTGTTGCTGCAGAGCCTGCACGCTGACGCTGCTGCGACCTCTGTGGCAGCTCTTCATGTCTATGGAGAACAGCCTGAGCCAGGATCCCACCAGCATCACGGTGCTGCTGCCTCTTCACAGAGCCCTCACTGAACTCTTCTTTATCGCAGAGGCCCGTGCAATCGTGAGTAATGCATCAACACACACGTCTGGTTTGCCATCCTCGTGGGGACATCCCATGGACATAACGCTTTCCCTAACCTCACCATCTATAATGAATGCCTAGCCCTGACCATGACACTAAAACCACTGTTGGAGTGTGAAAATGCCTTCAGCCCTGTGGGGACCTGGATTTGGGCCCACCAACATAGGAAACACACACACACACACACACACACACACACACACACACACACACACACACACACACACACACACAGCTGATCATCTAAAAATCCTTTTTCTTCATGTTTTTGTCACTTTTGAAATATGAAGCATTCCAACAGTAAAGATCTAATATGAAGGAGCATTTACTCAGAGCTCCTCTCTGCGTCTCTGTGAGCATGTTTACCGTGCACCTGTTCTACGCTCGGCTCGTGGCCAAAGCCATCTGTGGGACAGCGCCGTGCTGCACTGACGAGGAAGAGATGCTGCTCACTGTGATGCTTATGAATGCTCGCTCTCTTTCTCCGTCTCAGTTGTTTTGAATTATTAATGAAGAGAAGTCTCGAGATTATGAGCGCACCATCAGCCAGGAGTTTCCCATCTGTCGATGCAGGGGAAGCAGGCAGGGCCAGAAAAGCAGGACCTCTCCTGCAGCCTTCCCAGCGAGGCCCGAGGCTTCTCTCTGATAATAAAAGGACATGACTTAAATCGTCTTACAGGACGGAGTCTCTGCTGCACCCGCTCCATGTTGTCACGTGTAAGAGAGGGACTGGCGAGCTGAGGTTCTGCAGTGTTTCTGAACAAGCACCAGGGGGCGGTAGTGGCGCTCAGTACATTTGCCTGGGATGCCCCTCATGAATACTGCAGTTAGCATAACAACACATGATGGTGTGTAACGCGTTGTGTACAGCAGCACTGCAGACACACTTCGGTTATACAAACACGTATGATGCAGATTTTCTTTCTTAGGAGTGAAGTGAAGCTGTGTGACGTCAGCAGTAGCTGTTGTTCACGCCGCGCCAAGTTCTCCAGTGAATGTGATGCAACTGTGATTTTCCTGATGGGTGTGAAATGGCTCCGTGGTTTTAACACCACACATGAACACGTCGTGTTGCAGCTGTCGAAGTAAGGGTGGGCTGAGATGTGCTTGGTCCGGGATTATTGGAAGTGTGGTTGTAAACTGGATTAGACTGGTGACAAATGGGCTACAAAGCGTTTAGATTACATCCAGCCAAAACTGGGAATGCTGGTGTCCACTGTGGCTGACATACCGGGGAAGCATCTGTGATCTTCCTCAGAAAGATGTGACTAAAGTTGGCTGTCAGAGCTGACTGCAGTGATGATGCACGGCCATACTGACCAGCGCCATGGTGACAAAATGTTCGAGTCATACGAAGCTAACGAGCAGCATCGAGTCCTCTGTGGCTGCATCAGCTTTGAGCGCCTACGCAGCTTATTAGAGGGCTTTAGCGGCCATCGGGCTTCACGTTCGGGCTTCTCGTTCTCTGAATGCACGTAAAGTTCATGGTCAGCTCCTCTGAGAGTCAATTAAGTCGCTGCCTAAGAAGGGAAAGTTGTGTTTAGGAATCCAAGCTGTAAGTCGTGCACCACTGCCTGTACAAGTCGTCCTGGGTTGCTCCTACAGCGTAAACACTTTGGATGAATGGTGGAGCAGAGCTCTGGACTGTGTTTCCAGTGCTGTAAAAGCTCAATTTGGCCAGTCTCAGTGCATTTAGCCTCTGTGTAGTCTTATCTGTGTTTTCCAAATCCCTGTGCTTATGTAAGCCCAAGGTACATCTCTCTCATAGGGCCAAGTGGAAGCTCTCGTTTAGTTTGTTTATAATTTTCAATGACTTTTCCAACATCCCACGCTTCAGTTAGATGCTGAGATGAAGAGAGGTCAGGGAACCAGGCCTCATTTATAACCCAGCGCCTCTTTTATGTAGCCTGCTGCTCTGTTTCAGGAAGTTCCTTCTTTATCTGGTTTTATTCATGCGTCTTGCATGCATGCATCAAACTAAATGCTGGAATGGTGCAAACGATGCATTGCTAATTTACCTGCGTTGGACATGTCTTCCAGGCTCAGGGCGTCCTCCAGGAGTACCTGTTAGCCATGACCACTGATGAGCAGCTCCTCAACCACACCGCCATGGTAAGGCTTCCTCTCTCTCTTTGTCTTTGCATATTAACATATTCCTAAATTCAAAGCATTGCACTCAGCGGACGGTAGCAGCTCAGAGAAGTTGCTCGTGCACCTTAAAGTGTTATGCAACTCTTTCTTAACCACGCAGTCCCACTGATTGAACGCTCTTGAGTTGCTGTGAGTCAGCTCGCGCCTGGAGTCTCTTTTGCTAGTGAATCACAAAGCTGTTGACACCTAGCAGATCCCTCTGCACCCCCTCCCCTTGTTTTGAATGTGTGTGGGCTGTGCTCGGGACTAATGTATTTGGTAATTACAGTCCATTAGCATGTGTGGCAGAGCGAGCCACAGTGTCCTCTGCACTCAGGACCACGCAGTATAGCAGAGGAGCCCACAGGCAGTTAGGAGGAGCAGAGGATGCAGCATGAAAAGCACACTGTGGGTGGTTCTGCTGAGTGGTTACCTAATACCTGTCAGGGTGAAAACAAACCCAAAGGTGACACAATAGTCCAAACTGTTACGATAACAATGGATATTTAGGGCAAATCAGCTGATGTCCCAAACGCTCTGAAGCCACCGAGGACGGCTTCGCTCGCCGTCGTGTCTTCACAGCTTAAAGTAATGCACAGGGCTGCCCATCACTTACTGATCACTTAGTTAAACAGTGTGTTTTTGATTTGATGAAATTGCCCACCACACCCCGTGAGCACGGTGACAGCCGAATCGGCGAGCACGATGAGACGGAGCGTTTCCTGGAGCTGAGCTGCAGGCTGGAGGAGGAAGCAATTAAATGAAACATTGTTAAAAAATTATTGTAGAGCTGCAAGATGGAAAGAGCAGAATGGAGCTTCATCATTAATCCTCCAGTGCATATATCTGCTCTCCTCTGTGAGGAGATAAAAGACACAAGTGTTTGATTAAATTAAGGCTGCATCCGCTGTGGCTGCATGCTTTATATTAACCATTAATGAAACGAGCAGGTATAATGTGAAAAAGGGACTGAAGTGATGAATCCTCTCATCCGACGGCCACCCTCAGCTCATTGATTTGGCTGCTCACTAGTTAGCTGTCTGCTAACAGTTCACTGCATCCACCTGCTTGCATGGCACTAGCTGCGCTTAGAGAACTGAAAATGTGCAATTTATAGCTTAAAAGAAACGATGGTGTGGTTCGCACTGGGACAAATGGGTATAACTTGGTGTGGGACATGTTTTAGTGCTATGCAATGTGTCAAATGAACTGTGAAGCAAACCAGCACAAGTCGGCCATACTGGGTGTAATGTGTCCTTTCCTTTGGTGCATGTCTGCAGCCTGGCTGCTGCACTCGAGGAGCTGCAGACTCTTAAATGTCAAAATGGAAAGCTGAACTGGGAGAAAACAAATGTAAATGGTCTAAATGGTTTCTAGGCAATACTAAATATTTCTGTACTGCACAGCAGAGCAGCTCTGAACATGTTTGTCAGTGTCACACAGCCTAAACATGCAAGCTGTCCAGTTTGAGACCAGGAGAAGACGCAGGTCCCCGGGAGGGCTGCAGACATCAAAAGTGCACCAACGTGAAAATCTTTCAGATCAAATATGTGAATCAATCTGCTGTTTGAAACACTTACACTGAATGTTTCCTTGGAGCAGAAGCTGCATCAGCCTACAACAGTGCATGTTTACTTTACTGATATTCTGACAGATCTTATGTGCAGAAATCAGAGTGATGCACGTGGCAGACTGAATGTGACGGCGTTATTATTTATCGTGGAAGTGTTTGGGTTTTTGTCCCGCTGCCATTAGTGGACTCGACAAAGGAAAACTAGACCCCGCTCTGAGCAGGTGTCATGGTGGACCGATAACAGGACGCGGCTAATCAGGGACAAAGTGTCATAAAGCATAAGTTGCACCGTCTGTTAAGCTGGCACAGCACAGACGTAGAGACGTTATGGCATCGTTAGTTTCAGAAAGTCATCCTTAATATTAACATCCGCACTGTTTGTTCCGCCTCATCGAGCCTGATTCTGTCGGAGGGTTCTTCCTCTTAATGGGAGGTTTTCCTCCCTGCTGTCGCCAAGCGCCTGTTCACAGGGGTCGTCTGCGTGTCGGGCCCTTTGCTGTAATGTGATGCTGTATAGATGAACTGAGTATTTCTTTGTACCTGCAGCTGTTTCCTGACGTACTTTTGCTTTCTGTGTAGGCACTGAAGAACATCGCTGCCATCAGCCTGGCCATTAATTACCCCAATAAATCTACGAAGCTACTCAACATGTCCCCGTGAGAGGACCCGAGGGAAGGAGGAGGATAACTTGAAGGGGACACATCCTGACTCTGCTTGTTTAACAGGCACAGAGATCCAGAGGAGAACCTCGGTTTACCATCTACTGCTTTTCCTCTACCAGGACCCCCTCTTACTCTTCAGACGGTAGCTCGCAGTGCAGCACTGTGGACGTGGGTGTGGAGGGGACTCGAACAGCTTTCCACACTTACAATCCTTTTTGCCTTAGGGGACTCGGTTATATCAGCATGTGCATTCACTGAAACCGGAACAAATGTAGGGTGTAACTGTCATTATTTTTGACTTGAAGAATCTGTGCTAAATGACATCAAGTGTGCCAAATTTGCAGCCTTCCAGGGGAAGTGTTATTCCTAGTTGTCCTGCCTTTCCCCTCCCTTCTGAACAGCGGCCGCTCTGGGTTGCGTAAGCACTTGTCAGACACGGGAGAGCTGACATTGCTGGCTTCATCAGTCACTCCCATAGGTGGTTTCTGCATTAATGTTCCTCACGCTTGCATTTTGACACACCCACGACAGCGTTGCATAATAATTCCACATGTGCAAAAGACCTGTAGACCTGTTGTTAGTATTGCACACAGGGAAATGTAACCACACCTCAGTGCTGTCATTGTCACTGAGCAGGATGTCTCTTTCTCTCTGAGAGCGCTGCAGGGCGTGACTGAGAGACTCCGCCCCTCACATGGAAGCAGTGAGACACAGTTGGGTCCCCCCCCCCCCTCTGTCGCCTGCTTTAAACGTACAGGAAGGTTTTACTAATGTTACAATTCAGCAAAAGAGGTCGTTCTGCACTAAGGGCATCCTGTAAGAAGACACAAAGTCCTGGTGTCGTGCAGGCACGCCCTTTAATTACACGCCACACGTTTAGACTCGACCTGCAACCTTCAGGTAAATATTACAGATCTAGGATGTTTTTGCCACTGAGACACGACGACAAGCCGTTCAGATACAGCCGCCAGTTGATCGTGGTGAAAACGGGTCACCTTGGCGACTTGCGTCTCCGTGGACACGAGGAGCATCCTAAAAATACTGTCCGGGACATTCGAGTCTCATTAGTCACCACAGAGAGAAAGTAATGACCTACTAGCTAATCCCTCTCCATCCTTCCTTGCCTCCTCCTCCTTTACTTTTTACCCTCTGTGCTTCCTTTCTTCTTCCTCCTTTTTTTTTTTTTTTCTCATTGAACGGTGAAATCGACGTGTCACAATAAATATGCTAAACATGGATCTGACCAGTGTATAAAGGGAACGAAGGCTCGCAGGACGGGGATGAGGACGACAGCAGAGGGAAATCTGAGACCGTTTCACTATTTTATGAAAAACTATCATGATGTCAAATGTTGTTCTTGAGAAGCGCCCGATCCCTCGAAGGCCTCGACTTTCATCGCTGACCCTGTGACACGTTATCATGAAGTGAATCTGACTGTAAAATAGAGCTGCTGTTCAACATCAGGTCCTCACGTTCAGTCGCTTCCTAAACGTGTCGTCTAACCCTTCGTCTCATCGTGCGGCACGTGGCCACGTCACGCTTCGAGTCTTGCATGTCTGAGTCCCAATCATTCTTGAATAAATGCAGTTTTGAGTTGTAGGAAGGCGTGGTAGTTTTATACCAAAGAAACTGTCGTCGTGAACGTCTGTGAGAGATCCTGGTGGAGGTCGTTGTCTCTCACGTATCGCAGCTCCACCTGCGAGGCGCAGAGGAAACCTTTAGACGTCGCGTCGTCTTTTTTGTTTGTGTCTCTTTTATTTTTTCATCTTTTAATTCTGAAGTGGCCCCACACGGACTGCTGGTGGTTTTGTTCACACAAACATCAACCGCAGTTAGCAAAGGCCAAGATGTGCCCTCCGCTGGGCTTCTACAACGCCTCACCGATCTACTATGTGCCTATGGTTAAACTGAAGCAATCATAATTTAACTCGTGTTACCGGAGTTCTTATTAATTATATTTTAAAAGAGAAATATATTGTTTAATTTGAGGGGTTTTTGTAACTTTTTACTTTTAACGTTGCTTTTCTTTTCACGCTGATATTTGAGGCTGACTAATCTGAATGTACATATCTGTGAATATTAATTGCACAGGAGAAAAAAAAGCCTTTGATATCAACCCCTTACAAATAAACATTACCGGCACTAACACGGACACTCGGATTCTGGTTTTGTATGCATGGCACACCGAAGGTAAAACTAAAGTCCTGCTTGGGTTGAAATGTCATCCATTTCTAATAAAAGATAGAAATGACTTAAATTTGGCGCCTGCTGTCATCTTTCTGTAGGAGCAGCGTGTGCTGCGGTAAATAAAGTTTGATCGCTCGTTCAGCAGTGATTAGAGCCCGCACAGTGAGCCAGCGCCATCAAGAGTGACTTCTTAAAAACAAATGCATCTTATCCTCTGCACTATAAAACTTGCTTTGTTGTTTCTTTGAGCAGCCCCGTCGTACGACTTTGATTTATTCAGCGTCATCAGCTCCTGGTCAGCCTGCTAGAGTCTCGGGGACAGCGCTGATGATGGCGGCGATGATCGCTGGGGCGATAATGACATCAAATGGAGGAAATATTCAATAAGGCTCCAGATGATTCAGTGCCCCGCTGCGCCACAAAAGCCCCCACACTGGAGTGAGTCAGCTCTTCTGCTTCCCCTCCTCCGGTGCACCCCCCCTCCGTGTCCTGCTTCCTTCTGATTGTTCATGCAGCTTCCCGCTGCGCTTATTCACCTGAGGTGGAGAGAAAGAAAAGGCTTGCACGAGCTGCAATCTATGGGGAAACCTCCCAAAATGTGGCACTTTCAAGAAAGAAATGCTGAATGCATGCTGCTGTGAGAAACTGTTTTCAAGCTGTGCTGATACTCTGTGGAGCTCCAAGTGTTCAACGTTGAGTTGAAATGTTCACTGAATGAGGAGAGTTAAGAGCTACAAATGACATTTTTACGGTCCCTTTAAGGGTCCCCACAATAGATCATCTGACTCCACCTCACGATGTCCTTCCTCTTCTGTTACACCCGCCCTCTCCATGTCCCCATTCACTGCATCAATAAATCTGCTCCACCTTTAACATCCTTTGACCAGGATATCCACGGATCCTCCTCTGCTCATCCCTGAATCCTGGTCACTCACAGTGGAGATCACTAAACCTTTATTTCTGCCTCCTCAAGCACTTTTTAGAGCCACTCACATCATAGTGAGTCTCAGCACCTTTCACTCCTCCTGCTGTGCTCCAAACACAAATCACCCAGTGCTCATCTCCACCCTCTACGCTCTCTCGTTCACTTTGAATGGTTGACCACAGCTATTTAAACTCATCTACCTTCACGATCACTCGTCTCCTTCATTTTCGCTCTCGCTTGCACTGACTGTAATTCCCTTTTTGCAGCACGTAGCTCCACTTCTCTGCCCTTACCATCCCACTCTGTCTGTGAATGTGAAGCACGATCTGATATCCGCAGACGCAACGTTGATCCTGGACAAACACAATGATACTGAGGAATAACACCAACATGGGAAATCACCACCAACACACTAAATCTGTATGAATAAATAATTATTTCAAATACTTAAATACAGTCAACGCATTTAGCCACAGACAGGATGAGCTGCTGAAGGTCAAACTGAGCATCACAAAGGGAAAGAAAGGTGATTAAAGTGGCTGTGAACGGTTGCTGGTGCCAAACCGACTGGTGTGAATGGTCTCCACTTTCCCAGATCTTATTCCAACTGAGCACTTCTGGGATGTGTTTGAAAAGCTGACAAATCTGCAGCAACCGTGCGATGCTGTCATGTCAGTGTGGACCCAAACCTCTGAGGAATGTTTCCAACACCTTTCTGAAGGCAAAAGCAGATTTAATGCTCTTGTGACTGTATCTAGCATTTATAAATATTACTGTATCGTCTGCAGACTTTCAAAAATGCACATTTTGATGTCGAATCGTTAACACACGGCAGCCGTTTTCAAACATAACTTTTTCTTTCATTAATTAACAAAAAGATCTAAACTGAATTTCAGCAAAATAATTGTCATCACTGTAGCATCAGCAGACGCTTCTGTTTCTCCTCGTATTCAGCTCCACTCTGTTTTGGCCTGGTCATGGCTTTCCACCTGCAGCAGCTCCATCACAGCACTGACATCAGCCCAGCAATGAAGCGCTGAGGGTCACACAAAGGTCAACTTTAGGTACTCAAGCTTCGCGCAGAAATGCCCCGGCCTGGGTTATGTTGCTGTCAGGTAACAGTGCTGACCATGAGCCCTGTGCAGCCACAGATTTCAGCTCTGTCAGGTCTCAGTCTCCCTGCCGTGAGTCTACAAAGACACACCAACATAAGCACAGCCATCTACCAAACATTTGGTTTTATGGAGAAAAACAGTTTTGCTGATTCATTTGAAACAATGTGTCACAGTTTTTCTAACACAAACAAAAACAAGAAAGAAAAACTGTAAATATGAAAAACCATGTTTCTATAATAACCATGGAAGAAAATGGTTTGAGGACAGAGATGTGCTCTTGATATCCCCACAAATATGTCAGAAATGACTCAGCTCCATCTTCTAAGTGTTGGAAGGAATGTAGAGACTTCTAATTAAACATTACCCGCATAATGTGGTCGTGCGATATGGGAAAAATCACAGTGGAGTGAAAAAATAGAAAGAGAACGTTCCCGGCTTCTGTAGATACAAGAGGACAAATATTTAGAAGGCTGCGAGAGGAAGAAAGAGTTTAGACAGCTAGAGAGAGCTATGATAACACAATGTTCATGACTAAAGTGAGAGAAGCAAACAAAGAGACACAATACGCCGAGCTTGTTTCACGGGGCCATATGCACGACAGCAGCATCGCGCCTCAGACCTCGTTTGCTTTTCACGATCGTCTCCTTCAGCTGTTTACACTTCTGAATCACGAAGCACCAAATGAATCAGGCTGCCAGTGCTTTACAAATGTGTAGCTTTTAGCAGTAACACATTTTACGAAGCCTCCCTGAATCCCAGCATCCCCATTTGTCTCACATCATTTTCCTTTTAGATCATTCAGATGAATTAAGCGGCCACACTGCGGCTCAGGCATTTGAGGTCAGCCTGCTGTGGCTCCTTCTCCCCCTCTTCACTGTCACCACACATATGCTAAGTGTGTCATTTGCGTCATATTCAGATGCCTCCTGGCACGTTCTTGATTGCAACTCATGCCTGTCATGATGATGATGCCACCAGCGTGAAGCTCCTCAAAGTGTGGAGGCGGTGTGGCCAGAGTCAGGGCTGCACCTGTAACCGCCTCCAACAGTGATGTCAGAGGCTGTGTCCTTATCCGGTCGTTAAGTGATGACGTGACGAATCCTACTTCCGGGCCTAAAGTAGTCTGCGTTTAATATGGCTTTTGTGTTGTTAACATGTTTAATG